TTTATTGTAATACTTTAATATTTATAATTTATATTATAAATATTATTATATTAATATTATTATATTTATATTATATTATTATATAATATTATATTAATTTTAAATAAATATATTTATAATTATATATAATTTATTGTAATACTTTGTAATAATTTAATTTTTCAATAATTAAGTACCTTTCTATTTGTTTTAAACGAAAATTAATTTCATTTATAGAATTATAAATATATTCTAAATATTCTTCTATTTCTTTTGAATTTTTGTATGTATAAAATGTATATTGAAATAAATGAGATAAACAAGATTTTGTCCACTTTTTGTAGTTTGTAGTTTTTTCTTGTTCACATTGAGATTTTTTTAAATTTTGTTGTTCTAACATCTAAAAATAATTGTAAATTTAAGTTATATGAAAAATTAATAATAAGAAATAATATTAATAAAATAAAAAGTTAATTATTTTTATAAAATTTTACTTGTCTTGATTTTGATTCTCTGGTTCCCCATGTAATATTATGTAAATTGAAAATAGAAAAAATAATTAGTAACATGTACATAGAAGGTACAGTAATATAATAAATGATTCCATTAGGTAAACATGATAATTCTTGAGGATGCAAAAAAGCTGTTATTATAAATTGACTAATCACAATAAAAAATAAAAGAGCATTAGGTGTAAAATATCCATCTGTTGCAATTTGTAGTATTATCCCAACTAATACAACTATCATTACTAAAGCATATATGATAGTGATAACTTCTGCTACTATAAGCTATAAAAATATTAATTAAGATATATGATTTAATTTTGTTATAATATTTTTTTAAATTAATATATAAAATAAAAAATTATATATAAAATTGATAATTTAAGTAATTACCTGTATACGTTCTTGGCAAAAAAAACATATTAAAATAAAAATAATGATTGGAATTGAATTATACCAGAAACTTAACCAGTTATCTAATTGAAAAGAAGTTACAAATGCTCCAACCATCATTAAGTAAATAAAAGATGGTCCTATAATTGTGCTACCTATAAAAAGCAGTATAATAAATAAATAAATAAAGTAATAAATAAATATTTAGAAATAGTTTAATATTAAAATCAAATTACCTGTTAACATCCATTGATAAATTATATAAAAACAAGAAATATTATCATTTAATTTTCTGGTCTCTTTTGAATTATTTAATAAATCAAAAATATTAGCTATAGTTGAAGGAATCCATCGCCGACGTTGAATATAAAATTCTTTAAATGATTCTGGAGCATGTGTATAAGCATCACTTGCTGCACAATATTCTACCTAATCAAATGAAATAAATTATTTATATATATTTTTTAAATATTTCTATTATATTATAAATTTTTTTTACTTTACAACCAGCTTGTAAAATTAATGTACAAAGCCATCTATCTTCTCCTTGATCATATTGAATATAATGTCTGGGCTCAGTTGATTTTATTGCATATTTAGCTATGACATTATGTTGCATTAAAGCTTTTATTCTAAAAAGTGAAAAACAGCCTGGACTGCAGAGAACAGAGCCTATTGTATGTTCTGTTGATTTTTGAAGCCAATGCCCCATAGCATATTCAAATTTTTGAAACCAAATCATGGGACCTATATATGAAAATATATTTTTAAATATATTAAAACTATATGAAAAAAAAATTAATTTTTAATAAATTACAATATAAATTTAAAAGGAACAAAAATATTTTCATTTTTATATATTATATTTATATAGAAATACCTTTTCCTATTGGATGTATTCTTCCACAAGCTGCACCTAATTCTTTATCTTTTTTCATCAAATCTAACAATGATTTAACAGCAGTTGGATGAAAATCAACATCTCCATCTAAAGTTAAAATATAAGTATTTTGTGCCATTAATTCTTTAGTATCAATATCTATTGATGTATTCATTAAACGATATCCAAGAAAATAATACATATACATGACCTGAAATAGATATTTATTATATTCTTATATTAATTGATTATATAAATTAAATTAAACAAAATTAATTAATAAATTAATAAAAATATAAATTAATATATATTAATTAAAATAAAATAAAAATATAAGTTATATATAATACAAAAAGTTAGATTTAAGAAAATATAATTTTGTTTTATATTTCTTAATAGTAACTAATGTTATTAAATATACCTGACTCCATCGTTTTCTGTGTCTAATTTTATTTTTATCTTTAAGATGTACTGTTAGATATGTCTTTCCAGGTAAATTCCAAATAAGTTGACCACCATAAGGTGTTGGATATTTAGTAGGTGGTAAATAAAATATGCCAAGATCCTTTATATTTTCTTGTATTGTTTCTATAAATGTTGCTACATATTCATTTATTTGTGTTTCATTTTCATTATGATTACAAAATCCAATACAACCATGCATACAACAAAATGCATCATCAAATATTATATGTGCTGAAACAATTTATAGGTATTATTTTTATTTAATATTTTAAAAATTTTATTCAAGATAATTTATATATTAATTATGCAAATATTTACTAATTATGCATATAATTACTTTCAAGTTCATAATAATCATTGATAAAAATTTTATAATATTTTTGTGTGACTTTCATAGCACACTGGTCTTTATCTAATCTTAGGATACTTCCAATTAATTTGTTCATTTCTTCTTTATCTTCATGCCACATAGTTGCACAAACATAGATTTGAGTAACATTAGTAATTCTTTTGGTGCTTAAATCATTCTTAGAAATTGTTGAATAAGAATTATTCAAATTTTGCATTTCTTTTGAACTACTAATCTGAAATAAAAATTTTAACTTAAAATTAAAAATTAAGAATTAAGATTTATATCATTTTATGAAATTTCTAAATAAGATAAAACCTTAAATTCTGTAATATTTGAAAATTCTTCTTTTTCTGTAATATAATTATTTTCATGTCTTCTCTTATTTAATCCCAAAAATTGATCAATCAAGAATGAATCATAACTAGATTGGTAGAAAATTTTTTCTACAGGAGCGAGTTTTTCATTTTCACCAAACCAAAGTTGCTTTGTAATCCAAATCTGTGATAACCACCATGTTAACCAACACCAAACACGCCAATTTATAAGAAATTCTCTTATATTATTATATATAGGTATATTTAAAAATAAATAATCTGGTATTATATTATGAAAAGCACATGCATCTTCTCTTCTTAAAACACAAAATATTATTATTAAAAAAATTGTTCCTGGAGTAACTAAACTCATTGGAAAAGCAAAACCAAACTTATGCATTTTTGTTTGATATGCAAATTTTGCTGCAAAAATATTAAATACTTTTTAAACTTATAAAATAAAATAAAAATTTATAATTTTTATAATGTATTATAATATTATTTATAATAAAACTCATATATCTCACCTGTTTGATATATAAAAAAACCACAAAATGCTTGTATTAAAAAGCTATATAAAGGTGCAGAAGAATCTGCAATAATATCTACAATATCATTAAAATATAAATTCGATAATGACACATTTTCTCTAAGAGAAGAATTTGGTATTTGAATTAATTCTATGTTATATGTATTCTGCCACATATATTCAAAGAATTCTAGTATTTGAATTTCTTTAAAACTTAAAATTACTATACTACTTGAAATAAAAATCAAACATCTCCAAATTGCTACATATCCTTGTAATACATAACAATTATTTGATAAATCTGTTTTATGTTTTGCTAATGATTTTATAAAATCTATATAAAAAATTACATAAATTATTTTTAGAAAAATTAAAGATAATATTATAATACATATTTTAAAATTAAAAATATTACCTAAATAATTATAAAGAGATATATAATTATACCACCAACGACAAGAAGATAATAAGAGTGAAATAGGAAGAATCCATGTTAGAGAATCTTGTGCATCATTTAAAATAGAATATAAAATAATTCCTAAACCTTGAGCAATTAGTGCTAAAACATTGAGTATTAGAACTAATATGAATATAGTAATTTCACTTGAATATTTATGATGCTGAGTAAATAAATCTGTAATATATATAAATTCATTAAACATCTTTCCTAAATTAAATTTTGTAAAAGAATACTTACTTAAAAAAGTAGGAATAAAACAAATACAACTAGAAATTGCAGCAACATCTATAGAATTAAGTTTTGGAAGACTATAAAAAATTAATAATGCTATACCAATTGAATGAAATGTTTCCAAAAAAAAAAGAATTAAAATATTTTGTTTCTTAGGTAATTTTACTTTCTTTTTAAATAAAAAATTCCATATTGCATGAAATATAGTAAAAAATTCTGGTATAAGAAACATAAAAATAATATGCCAAGTCCAAATTACTTTGCCTCTTTTGGAAATTCTTGCTTCTAATTTTTGATCATATTCTACAATATGATATTAAACATTATTATTAAAAAAATATATATATATATTTATGTATTAAAAAAAATTGTATTAAGATATAATCAATCAATTAATATTATAAATTAAATAATATTTTAAATTATAATTATTATTATAATTTTAACAAAACTTATACAATTATAGTTTTAAAAAACAATTATATAAATAAATATAATATAAGAAATTGTAAATATATTTTAAGATAATGAAAATAAAAAATATTGATACACTTACTTGAATAATAATCACAAAACTGTATAGATTTTTCATCTTTAAGTTGTGATATAGCAAAAATGAACATAAATTTAATAATTAAACCACTACAAAAAATAGTACAGTAAAGAATACCATAAATAAATATTTTAATAATTTGTATAGAAACATTCAACCATTTTTTATTTTGCATGGATGCATTTTTTTTTTTTAATGGAAAATATTTAAATGCATCCCAAGATAGAAATCTGAAATTGAATAAATAAAATAGTTATCAATAAATTATATATTTTTTATAAGTTAATTAAATTTATAATGAATTTGTAATTATATAATTATTATATTATATCTATTATATATTTGACTTACAAGTAATTATAATATTAAATTATTTAAAATTTATGGATAAATATTTTTAAAAGTTATATAAAAATATATAAATAAACTATATAAATTAAATAATTATTATTAATAAAATTCACTTACGAATTTTGTAATATATCTTCATTTTCAGTTTCAGCATAATTGTTATTATAATTTTGAAAATCAAATGAAGAATTTAAACTACTAATTTTTGATATTGACATGTTAAGAAAAAAATAATTAATGATAATTTTAAGTATGATACAGCAATTGTCGAAATTTTTATTGATATTTAGATGTATT